CCTACAGCTGGACCCATGACTTCTCACTTCTCACGGCTCACTCATGCAGGCCAGCTGGCCACTGAGGAGACCGAGGCCCTGGGGGTGGGGCTAGTATATACCCTCAGTTCTTGGAGCCCTGGGGGTATAGTGGTTAGGAGTAGGGTTGCTAACCGTGAGATCAGCCGTTTGAAACCAGGTGAACCATGGGAGAAAGACAGGGTCGGAAGCCCCTGTAAAGAGTTGCAGTCTTGGAAACTCACAGGGGCGGTTCTACCTGTCCTATGTGGTCGCTGGGAGTTGGCATCGGCCCGATGGCAGCAAGTCTGGGCTTTCTGCCATCACTGGGTCTTTTGCTCTTGAGATGAGCCAGTGAATGTGGAGACCCACTTCTCAGTAGGGCATGAGAATCTCGTCTGAGTTAAGTAACTACTAAAAAGTAACAGACCCCTGTGGAAAAGGGGTCATTGTTACTCAAGATGAACATATGCACGCTTGTTGGCCTCTCTCTATGCCTCATGCCCCTCCACTCCCACCCACCCTGTCTGTGTACAATGGGGACAGACCTACACTCCACACGGTTTTATTGGCTGGTTTGGGAGCAGTAGATGGCTAGGCCCTGTCTGCCTCATCCATCTTAGTCTGCAAGCCTTGCTGAGATCTGCTCAGCATCCCGGCAACACACCAGCCTCGGCTGACAGATGGGTGATGCCCGCTCCTGAAGTGCACTGCCCGGGAAGGGTGCTGGGTCTGGTACATCCTCCACTGAAGCCAAACCGCACCGACACACGGAATGGGCTAGCTAGTTCACTCCTAGGTGCAGACACCCAGCAGGCAGGCAAATGCATGCTGATCAGGCTCTGGGAGGCCATGGGCAGCCACTGCTGGGCAGTAGAAGAGATAGTAAATAAGCCACAGTCCTGTCATACGACACAGTAATTAACTGAACAAACTAGAATCACCCGCACTATATCAGGTTTCTACAGCTGTGAAACAAACGACCACAAACTTAGCAACTTGGAATGACACCTAATAGCTCACAGCTCTGTACCGTTAGCATCTTAGCATCTGGTAGGCAGGTTCTCAGCCAGGCGCCTCACACACTAAATTAAGGATCCTCTTCTGAACTTGGCGAGCCCTGGTGATGTAGCGGAAATGCGTTAGGCTGCTAACTGCAAGGTTGGCAGTTTGAAACCACCAGCTGCTGCACAGGAGAAAGAGGAAGCTTTCTACTCTGGTAACAATTTAGTCTTAGACAGTCATAGGGGCAGTTCTACCTCTTCCTATAGGCTCACCATGCGTCAGAATACACCCAATGGCAGTGTTTGGTTTGGTTTTTCCTCCAAACTCATTCAGATTGTTGGCAGAATTTGGTTCCTTTGAAACAAATTGAAGGATGGTAGCTCACTCCCTCCTTGCCAACTGTGGCTAGCCAGGGCCCGCTCCTAGAGGTGTCCACATCCTTTATCATTGGGGGGGCTCTATCTTCCAAACCCAGGGCAAATTTCTCTCTAGGCAAATCCCTCTCTCCCCAGAAAAAGCCCTAGTCCTTTGAAGGGCTCACACGATTAGGTCAGGCCCACCAAAGATAGTCTCCCCATTTCAAGGTCGACTGGTTTGGGCCTTTTCTTACATTTGCAAAATCCCCTCACAGTGAAGAACACCACGCACAGGGGTGTTTAATGGTGCTTTAACCAGATAGGCCGTGCAAGTCCATCCGGTATGGTTTTCTTCGTAGATGTCGTTCTGCAAAAATAAAAGGGAAAAACAAAACAGCAAAACGCGGCAGGGTCATGGCCTTCAAATCTCTCCACACTGTACCCACGATTCCTAAACGCTGGTCTGAGGGGCTGTAAAGGGGGGACAGGCAACACTGACACAGACTTTTGTGACCCACAAGCCAGTTTCAGAGACAAATCCCTTCGCGGTGGCTCAGAGACTGGCCTTTGATGGACAGCTGAGAGGCGTGGCTACAAGAGGGAGCAAAGGAATCTTTTGGGGAAGGGAGGCGTCTGGGAATTCTGACTGCCCCACAGGACACAGATGAAACTCACCATCAATGTTGAACACAGGAAGCCGACACCAGAGGGTGCACAATGTGTGGGCCCCTCTATGTTGTCATGAGGTACCCCCGAGTCAGTTCCGACTCACAGGGACCCCATGCACAACAGAAGGAAACACTGTCCGGTCCTGCACCATCCTCCCAATTGCTCCTGATGCCTGATGCCGTGGTCACTGTGTCAGTCCGTCTCATTGACGGCCTTCCTGTTTTTTCTGCTGCCCCCCTCCCTCCTTTACCATAGGAAATACAAACACAGGAGTCGATCTGGTGTTAGGAGCCGGGGTGGGGGCCACTTCTGAGTTTGTAAACCTGCATAGGCGACCATCAGTGTTGCGATCCAGCGAGCAAGCTGTTCGTGGGTGATTTGTGTGTGCTTGACCGGGAAATGATATTACACCTTTCATATGCCTGTATGGAAAAGACTCAGAATAACCTGGATTTACTCCAGAGCGATTTGTTTTGTCTTCACAAGCAAGCATGCATCCTGAGCGGGTCCCAAAAGCGGGAGGCCTGTGAGCAGAAAAGAACCCACACAAGGTAGAGTGTGGCCTGAAGTGATGGCAGCGGCACTGGTGCCCCGGGCAACCTGGGAGGGGAGGACAGGATGTGTCCTGTCTGATTGAGAAGCCTAACTGCCTTGCTGATGCTATTTGTCCGCTACATAAACACTTTATAGCTAACGGGGCCGTGTCCATCTTGTTTGGGTGGCAGGGAGGATTACATGTCAGGCTGCTAACCACATCTCAACAATCTGAACCCAGCAGCTGCTCTGGGGAGAAAGGCGGCTGTCTGATCCCCTAAAGAGATACAGCCTTGGACACCCCCAGGGGCAGTTCTAGTCAGTCCTGCAGGTTCGCTGTAAGCCAGAATCCACTCGATGGCAGCGAGCGGAGGTGGGGCTGGGCTGAGTTCTAAATTATTCCAAGCAGGAGGGTTTTCCCTGCCCTCACCTCGTCTTTCCAGTATGGAGGGGAAACCACTAACTGGCAAGGTGGAGGATCTAGGAATCGGGGTGATTTCCCAGCAAAGTTATTTTTTCCTCTCTGCGTGTTGGTCGCATTTCCAGTACAATCCGGGCCTGACTCTCGAGCCCGCCTGCTGGTCCAGGGCTCGGGAAGGGGCGCCCTGGAATCGTTCAGGACAACTCAGAGGTGAGGACCTCGGGTACGTGACTCCAGGCGCCCAGAGCCACTGCGGTGTCTGCAAGAGAAGAGGGAGGGTGGGGGACGCTTTCGGGGAGCAGGCTTCCTGCAGCGGCCTACGTTCCCACGGCATCGCTGCGTTTACTTCTCCCGGCGTGCCCTCAGGAGCACGTTTTTCCAGGCGCACGGACTTACAGCTTTCCGAACCGCGTTACCCGAAGGCGACCGGCTGCCGAACCTCGGAGTTCAAGGCTGAGACCAGGTCCCAGGTTCTCGATGGCCACAAGGTCTCGGCCGGCCGGCTGCGCGTGGCAGTCGTGCAGGGAGAGGACGCTACAGAGGTCTCTGAATTTCCTCCTGGCTGGCGTGGGGCGCCCGGGGCGCGGCGAGCCTCTCCGCAGGCCGGCCATCAGCATGCGGGCGCCGCGCGCGTCGTCCTTGAGGGCCGCCCGGCTGACCTTGCTCCGCGTTCTCCGGAGAAATTGCCGAGAGAACGAGAGGACGCGGCAGCGCCGGTGACTCAGTGCCCTGCGCGCCGCATGCAAACGGTCCCCTCCCGCGAGCCCGGCTCCGCCGCCGCCGCTTCCCCCTCTTCAATTCCACGCTCCAAACCCGCCGTTTCCCGATCCCCAGAATACACCCAATGGCAGTGTTTGGTTTGGTTTTTCCTCCAAACTCATTCAGATTGTTGGCAGAATTTGGTTCCTTTGAAACAAATTGAAGGATGGTAGCTCACTCCCTCCTTGCCAACTGTGGCTAGCCAGGGCCCGCTCCTAGAGGTGTCCACATCCTTTATCATTGGGGGGGCTCTATCTTCCAAACCCAGGGCAAATTTCTCTCTAGGCAAATCCCTCTCTCCCCAGAAAAAGCCCTAGTCCTTTGAAGGGCTCACACGATTAGGTCAGGCCCACCAAAGATAGTCTCCCCATTTCAAGGTCGACTGGTTTGGGCCTTTTCTTACATTTGCAAAATCCCCTCACAGTGAAGAACACCACGCACAGGGGTGTTTAATGGTGCTTTAACCAGATAGGCCGTGCAAGTCCATCCGGTATGGTTTTCTTCGTAGATGTCGTTCTGCAAAAATAAAAGGGAAAAACAAAACAGCAAAACGCGGCAGGGTCATGGCCTTCAAATCTCTCCACACTGTACCCACGATTCCTAAACGCTGGTCTGAGGGGCTGTAAAGGGGGGACAGGCAACACTGACACAGACTTTTGTGACCCACAAGCCAGTTTCAGAGACAAATCCCTTCGCGGTGGCTCAGAGACTGGCCTTTGATGGACAGCTGAGAGGCGTGGCTACAAGAGGGAGCAAAGGAATCTTTTGGGGAAGGGAGGCGTCTGGGAATTCTGACTGCCCCACAGGACACAGATGAAACTCACCATCAATGTTGAACACAGGAAGCCGACACCAGAGGGTGCACAATGTGTGGGCCCCTCTATGTTGTCATGAGGTACCCCCGAGTCAGTTCCGACTCACAGGGACCCCATGCACAACAGAAGGAAACACTGTCCGGTCCTGCACCATCCTCCCAATTGCTCCTGATGCCTGATGCCGTGGTCACTGTGTCAGTCCGTCTCATTGACGGCCTTCCTGTTTTTTCTGCTGCCCCCCTCCCTCCTTTACCATAGGAAATACAAACACAGGAGTCGATCTGGTGTTAGGAGCCGGGGTGGGGGCCACTTCTGAGTTTGTAAACCTGC